ACACCTGGGTGAGGAGAGCACAATCACACAAGGGCCACGGCTCTGATATGCTGGAAAAAGAACTTCACAGGTTTGGGAAGGCACTTTGATTGCCATTGTTGAACAGGTGAATGAATTTTCCACACAAAGAAGTGTTTACGTTGGATTATTCACATGTGAGTGTCTCGTGTGGCTATTATGTGGATGAGCCGAGCATTATGACCTGAGCATTATGACCTGACACATGTAAACACCTGGTGAGTACTTTGCTTTTGCTCTCTCTCTCTGGGATGCTCTACGTGGTGCTGTCTGTCTATGACACCTACTGTAACACACACTATAACATACACACAGATTATCAGCCAATCAACACATTTCCCAAGTGGGCTCTTCTAATCATTGGCAGACCACTTAAGGACCCACAGCTATCAAATACGCCGGTACTTTGAAGTGATAGTTAAAACAGTGTCTGAGTGCAGAGGACGAGAGATTGTAGGTGTTTATGGAGTGAGTCTGATTGGGACGGATCCCTTCTCTTGACATCTGGTCATCAGAAACTGCAGAGGAAGATCCTTTGGGTTTTACACACACAACCCCACATTTACAAACCAGATTCTCTTCAGGAAAGTTTAATAATTTAATTCTTTGCAGGTATTGTATAATATAGGTAATGATACATAATGAACACTTGTATGTATATCTTATAATTTGAAGTTGAAACGAACTTTTCCAGTGTAATTCTTTCTTTTCTTTTTTTTTTCGTAAGAACCTGATTAGACTTGGGATTTGTTCTTCCCTGGTGGGAAGAAAATCTCACATAGACTCACATAAGACTTGAGCAATATCTAAGGACCAGATGAGAATAAAACTTGGCTTTGACTTGGGCTAATAAGAACCCACCCAGAAAACCATATCAACCACCTAGCAATACCCTTGCAGTGCATTAGCAACCACTCAGAACACTTTAGAAACCACATTGCAACACCCAAGCAATGATGTAGCAACCAGCACCCAAAACACCCTATCACCCACCTAGCAATCCATCAGAACACCCTAGCAACACCCTAGAGCACAGCCGCAGTCCTGCAGTGTTTAGCTCCAACCCTAATCAAACACACCTGAACAAGCTAATCAGTGTCTTCAGGATTACTCTGCAGAACAGTGGAACTCCAGGACTGACGTTGCCTATCCCTGCCCTAGAAGTTCTGTAGCAACCACCCAGAAATGTACTGGTAATTTTCTGCCCCTTTGCAACCCTACTCAGAACACCCTAGCAATTTTATAGCTACCAACCAGAAAACTCTCTCAAAAACCTAGCAACGCCCAAGCAACCAATCAGAACACCCTAGCAATTCTGTAGCAACCAACCAGAAAACAAATCACCTAACAAGGCCATAGCAACACCCTAGATACCACTCAGAACACATAAACAACCACATAGTAACACAACAGAAAACACATTAGTAACAGACTCACCCTGGGAACCACTCAGCAAATGTAGTATTATGTGAAATGGACAACATAGTCCCTGATGTCATTCCAGCACAGAATGGAATGGAATATCTAATATGATGCACCCCACCCCAATCTCTGTGTGCAATTATGCCTTAATTTTTCCATCAATCTTTGAAAGAAATCAGCAGTCAGAATGGAGATTAAATTTGGCAGTAATAGGTAACTCAGTACTGGAGTTAATACAGCCGTAGAGAGAGAAAGCGAGCACATCAGGAGCATTTTCCTGAAGTTATTCTGACAGGTGCACACACTCAGCAGAACTAGCGTGTGTGATACTAGCGTTCCAACTAGCGTTTGAGAGCCCTGTGGGTTGGCAGGTAGCACTATGCAGGTTTAAGAGCGGCTCCAACGAGCGTTTGTTGGCTTCCTCAGCACTTTCTCTTCTTCAAAAAGAGCAGGAAGAGATTGAAATAGTCAGTAATTCCATTCCAGACTCCATCCATGAACACAGAACTGTCACATCCCCCCAGTGAGCTTCACATAAACACGAGGAGCTGAGGCCATCGGGAAGTCATACGAGTCTTGTTTTAGTTCGTGTTCTCAGTTAACTAATGTCTGTGAGTAATGCTGACATTGAGGAGTGACAGAGCAAACTGAAAATAGCTTCTAGGTATAAAATAAGTCAGAGAAGCAAATTCATCGGAGCACTGCTACATTTGGTACGACCTCCCAAAAATATCCAATGCTGATTCAACAGGGGTTTTACAAACAAATGGAATAGGAAATAGCTTATTTTTTATAAAAAATAAAATAGTACTAAAGCACTATATATATATATATATATATAAAGATATTCTTATCAGACAGTGTATAAAAAAGCTAAATATTAATTTTTTTTAAATTAGTTTTTTTTTGTTTACTATTAATATATACTATTTACTAATAGGCCTATATATTTTTTCCCATAAATAAAACATTCCCATTTAATAATCATTATAACAAATGTACAAATAAATATTAATTTATAAATATTAATTAGGGTGAGAGAGAGAGAGAAATTTAATAATCATAATAAAATTCAATGCTGATTCAACAGGGGTTTTACAAACAAATGGAATAGGAAATAGCTTATTTTTTATAAAAAATAAAATAGTACTAAAGCACATTATATTTCAAGTCTTACAGCTTTCAATGAAGAAATAACATTCTCTATTACTATACTATTTTTATTATACTATTATACACTAATATTTAAAGATAACATGAAGTGGAAATATATAATATAAATATAAAATAATATAATATAATAGATTACAAAAAAGCCTACAAAACAACGAAAAAAAAAAGTTCCAGCCTTGTATTCATGAGCTGATGTATTGATTGTGCAGGGTCAGACATGCTGCTGTACATCTGCAGTACAGTTTCTCTTTCTATTCGTACAGTTCTCCATTAAAATCAGCTGCACTAATAGCCTGTGAGAGGACTGAAAGTGTCCTTCCTTTTCTTCTCCCATCCAGCATGAGGGATCCACAGAGCCGTACTGACAGAAGCTAATGGAAGTAATCCAAGTTGATTAGCAGACACCAAAGCATTTACATAATATTATTTGTTTGTTGCGTACTCCCAGTTGTAAGGCAAAATAGTGTTCCATATAACTTTAACCACCATTGGAACATTACATTGGAAAATAAATAAATAAAATAATAAATTTTTAAAAATCCTGGAATAAAGATATATAGGTGGATGGTTAGATTACAACATATAAAAGGGAACAGTAAACACAATAGAAATAGAGAGAGAAAGAGGAAGGAAAGATGCATGGAGAGAGCTAGTTTGCTATGCATGAAGGTTAAGTTGGCAGGACGCTCTATGGAGACTCACTGATACACTGATAGTTTTTGCCTGCAAACGTACATGTGTTAAATTCACTCCACCTGCTTTTCTATTGCTGACTGTCTTTCTTTTTGTGTCATCATCTCATCTCGGTCTCTTTCGCTCTTTTAGAACGACTCCTGGGGAAAGCAGTACTCTTACGCCCTATTCAAGGCCATGAGTCACATGTTGTGTATCGGGTATGGAGCCAGAGCGCCCGTCAGCATGTCAGACCTTTGGATCACCATGCTAAGTATGATTGTGGGCGCCACCTGTTACGCAATGTTCGTGGGTCACGCCACAGCCCTCATCCAGTCTCTGGACTCGTCTCGACGACAGTACCAAGAGAAGGTAAGCGCAGCCTCGTTGGTTTCATTCACATAGCTGTTTGTTTGCAGGTATTCACACGTTATTTTGATATTTACACCACCATGCCGTCGCTGGACGTGCATGTGATGTTACAACATCTCAATAGCGTAGTAATCTGTGTCATCATCGGTATGACCAAAATGAGCAATTTTGTATCATTGCAACTGTATATATATATATATATATATATATATATATTACAAAAAGATAATAATCATTGATATAATAATAATAATAATAATTGAAAATGAACATTCATAATTATTGATAATATTTTGGAATAACCAAAAATATGAATTATTGTTCATATTTAATTTTCTTTTTTATAGAAAATTATTATTAATATTATTATTTTGATAATTATGAAAATTCCTTCTTTTGTAATATTATTGTTATTGCTGTAATTATTATTATTATTGCCTAATCAAGGAAATTGATTCTTATTTATTAGTAATTAATATTCTTTATTATTCAAAAATATTATGATTAAGTTGTATTATTGTTATAATAATACTTATTATTATTATTATTATTATTATTATTGAATAATCAAAGAAAAATGACTATTATTATTAATTAATATTCTTCATCCAAAAATATTGTGCTTAAGTATTGTAATTAAGCTTAATTATTATTATTATTATTATTATTATTATTATTATTATTAAAATGAAGGAATTTTCTTTATTATTAAAAACAACAATGACAAAAAACAACAACAACAATAATAATATAAACAAGGAAATTAAATATTAATTAGTAATTCATGTTCTTGGTTACTATTATTATTATTATTATTATTATTAGCAATTAGGAGGAATTGTATTAATAATAATAAATGTTTCAATTATTGTAATAAATAAATTATTAAAAATACAAAAGAATTGCATTTACTATAAAATTATTATTATTATTATTATTATTGTTATTATTATATTAATAATAATAATAATAATAATAATTTTATAATTTTTTATTAAGTAAAATTGTTTTACAAATAAAGTCTTGCATAAGTTCAATAGTAACCACCTAAACTTGCCTTCTCATTTCTATTATCTCCCACACATTCTGCTCTTTATTTTCTCATAGTGCTTGTTTCTTTGTCACGCTCACTTGTAAACAGCATATAGCAATAGCACCACAGACACATGTAATTCACACCTGCACCTGTTTCTGAACCAGTGCAATAGCTAACACATTCCTGCAGTTCTCTGACCTCAGCGGTATAGCTCATTACTAAGCTCAATCGAGGATTGTGATGCTTAAGTCATCAACTCAGAGATGCCACAGCATATCGATTTCACTTCCTCTAAACAGCATGCAACTTTCTCCCCAAGAAACCATGAGAGGAGGGATTGGCAGATTATCCCTCATTCTAGCGTCTTGTCTTTGAGGGCTTGTTGTACCGTTAGTGGATCATTATATCCCATGTGCTTTCAAAGAGGATTTATCCCAAGTGAACGACATAAACACTCTCTCCGGGCCAAAGCATGTGCAAGAGCTGCTTTGTCCCATGAGAGAAGGGGGCTTATCTCATCTGGGCTTTGTTTGGGTGGCCAACCCGACCTCAATGAGCCGGGTTAAAGTCACAACACACACACACAACGTCATGCCAACATGAGCCATCAGGTTCTCTGTTTAATGCCATTACAGTGGATGAGTGGAAAGACGAGATTGAAATAGAGAGAATGGGATTGTGCTCCAGGGAGTTGGCACAGACTAAATGAAAAAGAAAACATACACAACACTGTCAGAAAAAGATTGTACCATTTAGTAAGCTTGTCACAGGGGCAGTATCCTCAAAAAGTACACATATCTACCATTAGATGCGTATTAGTACTGACCCAGTGAGATGATGTTGCTCTAAAAGTACTTTTTTTTCTGACAGTGTACCAGAGAAAAGTATGAATATACACTTAAAAGAAACTTAAAGAAATATCACAAATAAGACCTTTTTAACATCTTAGCTTTTGCTCCAGAGGTTAAATAGAGAGCAAATTGAGACTTTTTTCTTATGTTTCTCAGATGTTCTTTTTGAAAAAGAGCCTAGTAACTATGAGTCTTTCTTCTAGAGGTTTTGAAGAGATCTCAACAATGTCTCAAACTGTGTATATTTTAATGTATGTATTTATTTTTTAAAGGGGTCATATGATGCGATTTCACGTTTTCCTTTCTCTCATTTCCGACGAGTGCTTGCAGTGTTCGGCCAATCACAATGCACTGGGTCAGCTGGCCAATCAGAGCAGACTGCGCTTGTCGGAAGGAGGGACTTTGTAGAAAACGAATCGTTTGAGAGAGGCGGGGCATAGAGGACCTACAATAATGTACAGTATTTGAAAAATTATGCGTTTTTTGAACATTAAAGCATGTCAGCATATTCTGTTACACCAAATACACAAAATAATGATCTTTAAAAAAGCATCATATGACCCTTTTAAGGAAATACCTTTATTTAGCATGGATGCATTATATTTAAATAAAAGTAAAGAATGGTACTACTAATGGTACAAAATAAAAGTAAAGACTTTTACATTGTTGCATAAATATATATTTCAAATAAATGATAACACATTAACACACCATTAATAAGAAAAAACGTTTTTTTAGCAGCAAATCAGCATATTAGATTGATTTTGGAAGGATCATGTGACACTGAAAACTGGAGTAATGATGCTGAAAATTCAGCATTGACATCACAGAAATAAATGTCATTCAAAAATATTAATATAACTAGAAAACGGTTATTTTAAATTGTAATAATATTTCACAATATTCCTGTTTTTATTTTATTTTTGATCAAATAATGGCAGTGGAATTTTAATCATTTGAATGGTAGTGTAGCTTTAAACTTTAAACTCCTACTGTATATCAAATAATATCTCTTTTGTTTCCATTTCTATTTCTCCTAAGAAATTTAACACCAGAGACAAAGTTGATACTTCAAAGAGACACTGATTGAGTTATGAAATTTATAATTATACAATTTCTGTTTGTCAACAAAAATAAGCTTTTAGAAAAAATTTTTGCATTTCTTTATCAAGTGTACTATAAGCTGCCTTAGGAAATAAAATGTCTGCTAAACAACCAACTAAATTTCAGTATCCTCTATATTTATTGTAGTAGCTTATACACATTCCGACATACGATCCAATCAATATCCAGAGACGAACACAGGCTAATTTTCACTGTAACTCATTCATGACGCTGTTACGGGTTTTAAAATGCCATCTAGGAGTTTACTCACATTCATAAAGTTACATTTTCTCATTACAGCCCGCCCTTACATCTTCTTGATTGGCAAAGCCATTTAGCTGAAACCCTTTAGCGGAACAAAGTGTGGGATTTCCAAGCTAATGAGATTCCTTGCTCTGAAAAACAGGGTGCTGCACACATCCATAGCTCATGCGTACCATCAATTCCCCTGTCATGGGTGCACTGGCTTATCTGAGATGCACACGTAGCCGGTGTCACCTTCACCACGACAATGACACAGCGGTCTGAAACGGACAAAAGGCTTCTATTAATTTACATCTCTCCTCCTGTCCCGGCACGGACTCTTATCTTCAATTTAAATATGATTTTTTGACCTTGCGGTGGCCGTGTAGTGTTCGACACAAACGAGCTGTGTGACACACTTCACGTTCCTCTTCCATTTAGGATTGCAATGTCACCGCTGTGGTTTCATCCCACCATAATGCCAATTAAAATCCATTGCAAATGGATATTAGATATGGCTCCCCTGCCCAGAGAGATATGCAAATGGAATTCATATTGAATGGGCCTCTCAGTGGTCACTGTATGTAAACAGTAGAGGTCAGGTGACAAAGCCAATGTCACTGTCCCATACTGCCGAGAAGAACAGCATCACTGAACACCAGCATACGGTATGACTTATTTTGGATACTGGTGTGCTGGTGTCCCAACCAGGCTGTTTAACTAACTTAACTACCATGTTACAGAGCAAACTGTTCAAGCACTCTAATTAAAGTACTACAGCTAAAAATATCAAAACTTACATATATA